ATGGGAAATCCCCCCCTCCCTCCAGCCACCCTCTTCCCAGCCACGCTCTTTTGAAACAGTTAATGTCTGAGAGAATCCAAAACATTGCTGGAATGTATCAGTGATGAAGCTTTTGTATAGCTGAGCAGCTAAACAGCTCTGGTTTTGTTTGTGTTAGGGTTGATCGTCTTGCCTTTCATCGGTGAAAGTCAGAAATGGCTGGACAGAAGTCAGTGGAGCAACAGTGGTCTAAGACCAGCTTCAGCTTCAGCTGGGGGAGAATTTTATGGCTGGAGTCATGAAATGCTTCACAGAGAAGCAAAAATACCTCAAAAGAGGCACCCATGGCAGCATACTTGCAAATCTGCCGAGGTGAAGGATTCGTCCTCTCCAAAAGAGAATTTAAGTGAGCAGCTTTGCTTGGCACAACCGTGCTGTCCTAGTGACCCATCTGCCTCTCTGTTTCGTCTGGCCCTTTTTTCACTGACTGAACCCTGGCAGGCTGCCAGTGCCTTCCTGGAACCAAGGAACCAGTCTGGTCTGCAGTAAGGCACCCACAGGGATTACTTGTGGGGAAAGATTGCTGTTCATGCTCCTGAGTGGGTAGCCCAGGATCTTTAACATGTTTCTGCACTCAGCCACGTGGCAATGCCATTTATCACAGCCCCTCGCAGAAAATCATGTTCCCAGGGCCTGGGTGGCTCAGAGTTTCAGCATGGGGTGGAGAATGTTTGATCACATCAATCAGGACAGCTGGCAGAGTCCAGCTATTTAGACCTCCTTAGGGAATATGCAGAGGACTCCACTCAAACTCCCAAAACCAACTATTCCCTTCATCCCTTAAATAAAAAAATCTGGAAAACCAGCAGGATTCACCAGATCAGGGTTCAGAGACATTGATGGAAGCTCCATAAACATCCTGAACTCCTGCCAGTTCTCCCACCTAAAAAGAAGACTGGGGGGACTTTCAAAGACACAGCTGAGTTGTGCTGATGATCGCTCTTATTTAGTCCCAGCTGTGTGTTCCCAGATGCTCAGTGGTCTCCTCCTTCCATCCAGCTGCAGGTGCTTCCCATTTACCTGGTGCTGTCCCAAACCTGCCTGGCTCTACTGCAATCCAACTGATCCTCCACAGGTGTGACAAGAATATGCCATTTTAATTTTCTGTCATTTCAGCATGGAAGTTGGCCCAATAACTGGGAAAATGGCACTAGGAAGAAAAAGATAATTTGGCCAGAAGCAGGGGGAGGACAGAGATTTCTCCCTGTCAGAGACAGCAGTGTTGTTTTGCTGCCTCAGCTGTCCCTAGGTCCACAGGCTTTGCTGCTGTCCAGAGGGATCCACAAATGGACAAAAGGAATTCTCCCACCTCAGATTATTGGCAGCATTACAGCCCAGTATTGCAGCCAGGGACTCCAAAGTGAAGAAGTCTTTGGCTTCCTCATTTCTTGGCATTTTGTCAGCTTTAATCTCAGCTCAGATCTGCCACAAAATCCACCTCTGCTCAAATCTCTCTGAAAAAGTTTTATGTCTGCTTGACCACAACTGTCCACTACTACACCCTTATCTAAGTAGGTATCCAGGTGATATTTGGAAGGAAAGACACAAGTGCAATACCACTGATCTGAGATCTCCCTGCTAACCTCAGTCTGCCAAGCCATCTTATTCCTCCATCTGTCCTCCTGTACAGGTCCCTGTACAAGTGGAGTATTTGACACAACTTCCCATCTTTCAGCAGCTTAACAAAACCAAGTTAACTCTACCTCCGACTGAACTTGGTCTTGTTGAGTAAACTCCTGAACTAGGTTTCTACAGCATTGATAAGTGCATGGGCAAGAGAGAAAGAAAAACCTCATGAAACAACATACACAGTTCAAGTGTGGAGGAAATTTCTCCCTTTTGTTCTGCCAGATGGAATATGTTCCCTGAAGAAAGGAAGAAGTCTGACCACTAGGGACTGCTGCAACTGGAATGAGCAATATCTGAGAGAAAATACCCCAGAGAGCAGCTCTGACACTGGGTCAGGTGTGATTTTTCCTGACAGTCTCCATCAAGCACAACTCCCCTGAAGTCAGTGGGGGGCACCTGGACACAAGTTCTCTTGGCAGGGTTCCCTCTAGCTTTCACCATGGAGAGGTCAATAACTTTCACCATACTTTGAGTCATGCTTATACCAGGAAAAAAGCAAAATAAATGCAAGAAAGAGAAGAAAGTCATGGCAAAGATTTAGACAAATATAGACGTTAAAGACTTTGCTAATGCAAAAGTAGGTGTAAAAATCAATAATAATAATCAACAACATTAATGAAACAATATACACCTGCTTTGTGTACTTAGGGAACAAAGAAAAGTGTTTAGCATGGCCAGTGGAGAAAAGAGAGGATCAGCATCATGCTACTACAGAAGGTATTTAGCAAATCATTGTAATTGTTCATAGAGTTTGTTTAGGCTTCTTAATTTATTCTTCATTCCTGCTCTGTTTCACAGGAAGCAAAAGAACTTAAAGGCAGTAAGTCCAGAGAAGCAGAATGACATCAGCTGAAAGCCACAGCATGGTACAGGAAAACTTTAGCTAAAAGTGCCAGTTTCATTAGCAGACAGACTGCCTATCAATGCAGCAGGAATATGCAGGGGAAAAGGGATCAAAACATGTCAACTATAGTATGAACCTCTGCACAGAAGGATGTCAGCTACATAAAAAAGGAATTAAAACAAGATGAGCTTCACCCTCCAGGCTTTTCACACCTGAGTCATCATTAATGATAATAATCATCATCATTAATAAGCATCACTAATAATAAGAAGGAAAAAGGCAAGGAATACATGGGTGTACAGGCAAATGGCTGTTATTTTATTGGCTTCAAGAAGCTCCACCAGGAAAACCAGTTTGCAAGTGTTTGCTCTACTTGAGCACAGTGGTAAACATTGATATTTCAGCACCAACGCTGGGAACATTAATTCCTCATTCTAAGCAAGGTCTGAGTATTTCCCAGTTTTATTAAACCCCAGAACACAACAGCCTGTTTGAAAAAGAACACTCCAAAGTATTTTAGGTACTTCCTACGGCAGGAGGAAGAGGACAAACAGGAAGAACTTGTATTCCTCTGGCATTACTATTTGTCCCATTGTCACTTGTCCAGCAATTGCCATGGGACTAACCAGCAGTCCTGGAATTCCAGAGCATCCTTATCGTGGGAGGGGAAGGAAGGGACAAGCAGGGAATGTAAAGGCTCTGGGTCCTGAAGACAGGAATCACAGGTATCTGATGTTTTGATCTTTCAAATCATCTTTAATTAGTTTGTGTAACTGGTATTATCCTTAATTAGCCTTGCTCAGTTCAGAATGCCTGCTCACCTGCTTCAAGATAGAGGCACACCTCAAAGGTTTGCAAGACCAAGGCCTACCTTGCTAGATTTTGAAAGCTATAGCCAAGAAGCAGCTGGGAAGAGCTCTAAGAGAAGTGTTCCTACATGGCAGGCATATTTATTTATTTTTCTCTGGTTATTGTAGACTGCTATCTGCTTGCTGGATTTGGTGGTTCAGGCACTTGGCTTGCCTGTCTCTGTGTGGTGGGTATGCACTGGCAAGAGGTGAGAGATGCTCCAGCCTCATCTTCCTTGAGTGGCAAGAGCTCTTTATCCAACCTTTTTCTCGTATAGAGAGTTCCCATGTGCACAGGTCACCTTCTGGCTCCACAGAGATCGTCTGAGAGGTGCCACCCCTGCCAAGCACTGCCTGGGAGGGTGGGGACAGGAGGGGCACACAGGGATCCAAGGAGTGTCAGGACATTGCTCTTCCATCCAGCCTGGCTGCCTGCTTTCCATGTGAGCCAAGAGAACCTGCTTATTGCTATTTTCAGAAAATGTAAGGAAGGCCATATGATGGAGGCTTAAGGTTTTTTCTACACCAGTGACATTTTCTACAGCAGTGACATTCCAGGCTACCTTGGACCATGGATGTCAATGGTTTGTGGGCTGACAAGTCCAAAAACTGGGAAATACGGATTCTGTGAGCCATCTGTTGGCTTTATCTAACAGGGACCAAGGAGAGCAGCTCATTTTCTAGGTACTGGTTACATATCTTTCCACAGTAACAATAAAGCTGCACACCCAGGTCAGGCACTCAGCCTCAGCTCTTGCTATAAAGGCCCTGTAATAGGCAGGTATGGCTCCCTTGTCCCCACACCAATGCTACTTTTGAAAAGAAAATTTCTCCTATAACCCTCACGGACTTTGCCGTTTGTTACTTTCAAGGTTCTCATTCTTGATATACACATTAAATTCCTTCAGTGTCTCCAGAACTTTAGCCTGAGGACAGATTGTCACCTGTGCCTCATATTGAGGTCAGACTGGATGCCCACTTCTCCACGTGTGACTATTCGTGCACTTTGGACATGATAGTTCTGGCTGCCATGTATTCAGACAAAAATGTCACTGCAAACCAAGGAGAGGGACACATTCCTGTGAGACTGGCTCTGTCCAGGAGCCAGGTCCTATCAGGAAGCTTTAATGAAAAAATCACTGGGAAGCAGAGTGCACTTTCAGTGGCTCCGGGATACAGTCACCCCGGGCTGGAAGGAGAACCCAACTTTCCAGCCTGCCAGCAGCAGGGAGGACGTGGGTCTCTGGCACTCCCACCTGGGTTCATGGCACCGGGACCACACACGGCTATCCCGGGATAACCAGGGCTTTTCTCCCAACGCGCCCAAACCCTCCCTGCAGCCCGAGATCACCATCCCAAACACGGGGCACCCCCGAGCATCCCCAGGAGCCGCCCCCCGCCTCGCCCCAGCGCCCTCCTCCCCTGCCCCCGGGCTTCTCCCGGGGATCCCCGCCGAGGGAGGGTCCGCCCGGCACTCCCAGCTTTCCATGGCAGCTCCAGGTCCCGCTCCCAGCCCGGGGCCGATCCCGGCCGGCTCCGCGGCTCCGGGGCGGGGCGGTGCGGGCGGGGCGGGCCGGCCGGGGCAGCCGGCGCTGCTGGAATTGGAGGCTGCGGAGCCGAGCCCGCTGCGGGCAGCGTCGTGTCCCGGAGCCCTCGGCAGTCGCTGGGCTGCGGCTCCGCTCATCGCCATGGAGAAGTACAAAGGTGAGGGGAGCGGGGCGTCACGCGTGTCTGTGTCCCGGGACAGCCTCGCTGGGGACCGCCGGGGGACACTGGGGACCCGCGGGGACGGCGGTCTTTGGGGGGTGACAGACACGATGGCACGGCGGTCTTTGGGAGGGTGACGGTCTTTGGGGGGTGACAGACCCCGTGGCACGGCGGTCTTTGGGAGGGTGACGGTCTTTGGAGGGGGTGACAGACCCCGTGGCACGGCGGTCTTTGGGAGGGTGACAGACCCCGTGGCACGGAGGTCTTTGGGGGGTGACAGACCCGCTGTCCCCCCGCGTGGGAAAGCGGCGGTGGGATGCGGGGGTGCCTCCCGAGGCGATGTTTCCCGAGAGTGGGAGTGGGATCAGCCGCGGGGAAGGGGTTCCCTGCGAGCCCGGTTCCTGGGAACGGAAGGTTGGGATTGTCCCGGTCCTACTCCTCCCGCGGAGGAGAATGCGGGTGGATAATGGGGACAGGAACTGGCTCCAGGGAGGTGATCTCCGCGAGTGGGGCCAGGGATCGGGGTCCCCGCGAGAGAGGCCGGGGTCAGCTCGGGAATGGAGGGGAAGCGATGCCCGCGAGTGGCGCCGGATGGGGGGAGCGATGGGGATGGTCCCAGCCGGGGATGTGGGACAGAGCGTGTAGGTCCTGCTCGGGGATGTGAAGTCCCTGCGTACCTGCACCGGGTAGGAAGGGAAGGAGAAAGAGGGAGATGTGGAAAAATTTCGCGTTTTACCCGATCCGGAGATCGGGACCTCTTTTGCCACTTAAAAGCAGCGTCTTGATGGGTTTTCTGCAGCCGCTCAGTTGTCTGACATTGCCCGCTCCGTCTTTCGTCCTAAGCCGCCCATCTGCGTGGGCTCCCCACCCTCCCAGGCTGAACAGGCACACCGAGTGTCCTGTTTTCTAAACGCAAATAGTTCTGGTGGTTAGGAGAGGGTAGGTGAGCAGCTCCCAGCTTTCTCCCTGGCAGATCTCATCCGGGCTGGCTGTCACCCACAGCCCATTTATTTCCCCTCAATCAATGGCTCTGGCGCTTCCTATGTGATGCTGCTTGGTCATGAACACCGAGACTGGCACATCTCAGGTCCGTGCTGCTATGGGCACTCTTGGACACTTATCAAACATGAGCTGTCCTTGCCAGCCGAGAGGAAGGAGGTGGGATGAGGTGCCCGGGCACGGAGCACTCGGATGTGTGCGGCTGCTCTGTCATTTCTGCTGCTGCTGGTGTGTAAAAACCTCCCCTGGAGGAGGCGGATCCACCACCTGTGTAGCACGGAGTAAGTCTGCGGTTAATTTTACCTGTTGAGAGGAAATGGGACTCTCCTGGTAACTGCTGTCCTCCTCACGGAACTCGGAGGTTTAAGTGGGGAACTTGGTACTAAACAAATGTATTTCTGCCAGAGCCCGTTTGCACTTATTACTGTCATACCAGAAAGGTTTGCTTAGACCTCATAGATGCATTTGAGCTAATAGTTCATTTCCTAATCCTGCTTTGATGGGGGCTTCATATGCTGAGGTATCATACTGTATGAAGTTAACTTTTGCCAGGACTGTGTGTTTTTTTTTCCACCGTGCAATACTTCAGCATTCTGGCAGGGCTGGCACTCTGCTGCCTGTTGCGTTTTGATCCTTTTCCTCCTTACAACTGGTGCTTTACAGGCCTGATAAGCACCGTAATAACACACTGCAAAAACGATCTTGAGGATTATATTACAAGTCAAATATTGTGTAGTTGGTTCGGGTTTTTTTCCCATCCTGGCAGGGTCTGCACAATTCCATTCAGTTCCAGTAGCAAAGCAGTAGATTCATTAAGATTCAGCTATGTTTTGTATATTGTCTTTTTAAATATGCACAGTGCTCCCTCGGAGCAGCGGGGATGTTCTGCACATGTGTGATGAATAAATAGCGAGCAGGACTGATGGCGGAGCCCTGCCAGAGCTTTTTTGTGTCGGTGCTGATGGAGCGGGGGTGGTAATGAGGCACCGCCAGCCCTGCGGGGCAGCCACAGGTGACGGTGGCACAGGTGTCCCCAGGGTGGGGGTGACTGCACTCACCTGGAGCTGCTGAGGTGTGGGGGAAGGGAGTTGGGAGCCCTGACGAGCAGCTGGAGAGGGCAGACAAGTGGGTTGTTATTAATAAGCACGGGGGATATGTGCCCGTTCTGGTGGGGATAACTTGTTGATGCCTTGCTATGGGAAGTCTTCATCCTTGTCACTAGCCAGGCAGAGTGGTTGTGCAGGGACATTCTGTAATGATAGAGGTGCATGGGCTCAAAGAGGGCTGTTTAGCAATGAATTGGTGTTCTGGGGAAACGAATTTGACTATAAGATCTGTCCTACTAATGAAATTAAGTTTGCAAGCATCAACAAACAGCAGCATCTTTCCTTTAAACACAGGTAGGGATGTGCAATAACCCAGGATCTAAGGTGGCACATGCAAGTGTCTCTCTTTCAATGGCAGCTGAAGCAGCCACAGGAATCTGGCTGGGTGGAGCCTGCAGAGCCAGGTGGGCTGGGAGGCTGGGGCTGGTGGCTGGCAGGGTGGCACCGATGGAGCGGGAAGAGCTTGGGCTGTTGGACTTGCATGGTGGGAAGTGAAGGAAGAGATTGTGAAACTCTCCTGGGAATGGATTTCCTTTCCCAGCCGCTGCAAATGAGGTTGCAAGGCCAGCTGCATAGGAGGACACTGCCTCTTGACTCCTCTTAGGCCGTTGAAGCTCTGATGTGCAAGAGGGTTGGGGTTTTTTTCTGCCAGACTGCCCTAAAGACTGTCTGCTGTTGGTGAAGATGCTGTTTAAAAAGGCACCTTCTCCCTGTGATTAGGGAGCGTGTGTGAGGCATAAAGAGAAACAGACCCTACAGGACAAGGGGTGAAGAGGGAGACCTGCAGAGAGCAGGTGTGACCGAGGGTGGTCACTGTTCCCACAGCCGAGTAGTGACAAGGACAGAGCTGCTGGTCTCTTGCTCTTGCTCCTCTATTTCCTGTGAGTGCTCTCGTCCCCTTCCCATGTTTCCCTTTGAATATGGCAACTATCCCAACTTGTGCTCCCTGTTCTGGAGGCATTATGACTTCTTGCCTACTCCTACCACGCTTGTCAGACATGGCTGGCTGGTCCATGAGCAACCATCTGCAGATCCTGGGAGGGGAAGGGGTGCTGAGTGCACTGTTACTGGTGAGGGATGTGTTGGTGACACCTTCATTTACCCACCATCTCTGTCAAGTCCTCTCAGACTGACACCCTTGTCACTGCAGTCATCTATGCTCATAGTGTAAAATGTCAAGTGATGTGAGCCTGGGGAGTTTTGTAAGATTATTACTGTATTTTAAATGTGTTAGAGGTCTGTAATGGAAATCAGAGCAACTTCCAGCCCAGTTCTTCAAAGAGAAGTGTTTGGCTCTCATGTTTTACTGTCTCTGTTGAGCAAAGATTCAAGCTTCACCTTCCTTGTCAGAGGGTCCTTGCAAGTGTTTGCAGTGCTCCCCCAAGGAGATGAACATTGTTTGCCCATGAAGGAGAGGTTGTCTCTTAACAGAAACCATCAGGTGAGTGTTGATAAGGAGTAAAATGGTGACTTGGTAGAAAGAAGTGTTTGCTTGCTAAGTTAATGTGTTTTAACTGAGAGGGGGAAGGGGATGGATCTGTTTAGGACTGGGGCATGTGTTCTTCTCCACATGTTCTTGCACATACAAAGGGATATGCTTGGGGTTATACTGAAAAGTGGAGACATGAATGAGAGACATAAGCCCTGGTAACAATCTGAGGTGCTTTATAAATTGTTAATCAGAGCTGGATATGAATTGATTCATATGAACAAAGTCTGGGCTCTCTGCAGACATATGTGGTTTCTCCTCAGCTGATTGTCCACACAGCTGTTGTGTTTAACTCATTGTCTTGGTGTGGCAACTGGAGAAAGCAGGGCAGTGTACTGCTCTGTGCCAAATCCACTACAACTTTCAGCTGCTGGGCTGAGCCTTCTCTTAAATGCAGATGAGAATTAGTGTCATACATAACATACACAGAAACTCTCACTTCTGTGAGAGGGACCTTGGTTAATTTTGGATAATGAAACTGACTGGGGAATAGGCAGCAGGAGTGCAGAGTTATTTACTCTGCAGGGCTTGAAGACATGAAACATTTTTTCTGTGACTGAAGCCACAGCCTGTCTCAAACATCTGCCATGCCCACCCTTCCAAGCCATCCCACCTGTGCCAGCATAGTACTTCTGTCTCTTCTAGAACAGCTGCATTTCTTGTTTAAACAGGGCACGTGAGGGTGCTCTGAGTTGAATTACACACACACAAGGCTCTCCAGTGCTCTCCACAGCAGGACAGGCTCCCTGCAGATGGGCTGTAGGGATGCTGGCTTCAGCCCCATTTCAGGAGCAGTGATGGCCCTTGGGAGGTGTGTGTGTGACTGCCAGGTTTGGGGTGCTCCTTTTGCTACCCCCAGAACTATCACTGGGGCTGGCTCCATCTCTTGACAGTAAGGGGCAGAGATCCATGCAGTGAAGGGCAGGGGAGCCCTGCTGCTCTGGGGTCTGTGCCCCATCTGTGTCATTACCAAAATTGCCAAGAGCCCTGCTCCTAAAGCCAGGAGAGATGCTTTCTTCCTAAAAGAAGGAAGAAAAAGAGGAAAAAAGCTAGCTCCCAAACTCTGAGCCTTTGGGCATCTGCTTTTGGAATGCACTGGACAGGACACGAGCCCTTCCTTTAGCTTTGTGTGTAAGCAAGTCTTGCTCCCCTTCCTCCCCACACCTTCACCTCTGCTCGAAGCTGGCTCTGTGTGCCTGGCTGGGGACTGGAGACACTGCCTGAATGAGTTTATTGTTCCTGGGTTCTCACTGATAGCTTTCACTGAACGCCCACAGCCAGGAACACAGGGAGTGTCTATGCAAAAATGCTTGTACTACTTTATGCTTTCAGCTCCCAGCAGCAATGGTGGGCTGGGGGCAAGCAGGGAATTGGGCAGCTCATTTCACCCAGGCTGTGCAGGG